ATATCATAAAAAAATGTAAAACCAGGTTATTATTACTATAATAATTAAAATTTATTTAATAAAATAATCAACAAAAATCATAATTATTCAATTATCATATTTTCTAAACAAAAAAAAAATAAAAAAAAAATTAAAAAAAAAAACAAAAAAAAAATTCTGGGCCCGCCAGGATTTGAACGCGGTCGCTTGCCAGGTCTCAAATGGCAAAGTTGATAAGTTCGACGTTCTAACCATCTGAGCTAATAGCCCTTCGTCAATTGAATGATCTAATCAGTTATGTATTTAACCGATTTAACCAGAGTAAAGAGTAAACATATCTTAGTTATTTTAAAATTATTTATTAATAATTGTTAAAGATAAATATTTAGGATCTAATTTACAACAATTTCAATAATTTATCAATCATATGAATTTTAGTAATTATATAAACATTACATAGATCAAAATAGAAATTATTTGTTTGACATTTTGTGACAGCTACTGCGGAAAGTAGCACATTCGTACACGAATGGAAAGTAAATTCTTATTCATACGCGTGTGATATAGGGCACTTTCCTAAGTGGTCGTAGGAAAAAGATTTTATAGTTTTAACGTTATCTCACAGAACCTAATAAATCTAACTGGTTACTTAAAAAATGTACCTACTCACAAAATTTGAAATGTAAAATTGTAATTCAATATCCACAATAATGGATGTTATCTTTAAACATGTTGTATTAAAAGGGAGAATCAGAGAGACCTGAAATTAAAACACAATGTCGAATGCTAATTGATTTTCTGATGTACGCTTTATTATTTTAGGCGAGTATTGTGAGTAGAACTCAATCATGTGCAACTCAAGAGCTCTGAGAAGCTTTAAAAAGAGTATTAAGGTACATACAACGTACTATACATTTAATTTTAGTTTTAACACATCTGATAATGGTGTAAAATGTATTAACTGGGCTGGTGACACAGTAAATAGGAAGTCAACAGCGAAATACATTTTAAAGATAGTCAGATGAACTGTGTCTACAATCTACAGTAGCTCTGTCCTCAACCGAGGCATAATATATAGCAGATAGGTTAGCCTGCTCGCTAAGATATTTAGATAAGAATTTGGAAATTCAACATAAATATGTGCTAAGCTGTTTAAAGACAATTACTCTGCTATCAAAGTAAAACCCTGAATATTACAAACTATTGAAATATAGGTTTTAAATTTATATAAGTTACATTAACAAATTGTTGATATTTTTACCAAACTACTACGTATAGCATTGTTCAAAAAGTTTTGTAATAGTTTACAAAAAATTTAATAATATTAGAAAACATCTTTATCTTTATCTTTATCGGTTGTAAGCAGGTAGAGTTAAGTTTGGCCCAGAACACTGCGGCCTCTTAGGTATATTGTATTCCCCTTATTTCCCCGTATTCAGGTACTATCTTTGGAATAGTTCTGTGTCTTTGGTTAGTTTTAATAGTTTCCCTACCAAGTGTGCCTGGGGCGTTCTTTCCGGTTCTAGGCCGAAAAGGATGAAACATCGCTTAGTAAGAACTTCGCATTCGAAGATCACATGGTATGAGGTTTCTTCCTCTTTCATGCAAAGTCTACACGTTGTGGGATCATTGTGTAATCCCATTACATGAAGGTGTTTCAGCAAGCAGTGCTCCGTTAGTATTCCTACAATGGTGGATATCTGAGGCCTTGCGAGTTGTAGTGCTTCAGTAGTCATGCGTGGGTTTGGTCCCCTTAGCATGAGCTTACTAATTCTGTGCCCTCTTATCTGTTGCCAGTGCATTTGGTTATTTGTGGTTATCCACCTGTTCACTGCCTGTCGAGCAAAGGTTTTGCTTATCCTAAATATAGGTTCGGATCTTGTGAATAGTAGATCTGATCCGTCTTTGGCGAGTTCATCAGCTTTTACATTTCTTTGGATACCTTGGTGCCCTGATACCCACGCTAGTTTTACCTTGTTGTGGGTTGCCAGATCATTTAGTATTCCAAGGCAGTTCTAGACAAGCTTTGACTTGATTCTGTTTGAATCAAGAGACTTTAAAACTGCTTGGCTATCTGAGAGAATTAGGATGGTTTGTTTTTTGTACTTCGTTCTTAAATTCTCTCGTACACATAATTCGATTACATGTATTTTAGCCTGAAATACAGTGGCATATTTTCCCAGTGAGATGATGATGTCTCTTTTATGTTCAACTCCATGTACGCCAGAGCCTGTTCCCTTGTTAGTTTTGGATTCATCCGTATAAAATACGAGACCGCTAAGCAAGTATTTATCTATTTCCTTATATACCTCGTTCCAGTTACAGTTGACCTGGAAGAGTTAGGAGGGGTGTCATGTGATCTGATCCCATATTTAATATAGAATCATTTACTTTATGTGTTATTCTGATATGTTTTATATGTCACAGTGGGTTCCAGTTGTTTTGGAGATTTCCAGTTTTTATGCACTCATGGGAGGTTAAGAATGATTTCCATAGAGGCTGTCGGTGTAGTTCTCAAATACTAAGGCATGCAAGCCTCTGTACTCCTGAGAGGGTGTTGAGGGCTGTTATCTGGTTTACTTTTGGCCATCAAACAACCGTTCCATAAGTTATCATGGGTCTTGTTATTGCCAAATATAGCCAGTGAACCATTTTTGGTTTTAATCCCCATGTGCTTCCAAATGCCCGTCTCCCTACAATCAGAGACATTTTACATTTGTTGGTCACTTTTTGTAAGTGTTGGTTCCAAGTAAGTTTGCTATCTAGGATTAGACCCAGATATTTTACTTGGTTCGTTTTGTTTAGCCTTCCTCCAAACAGAGTCCTTGTTTCTAAAACCTTTAACTTTGTTTTCTGAGTCAAGGTTATGAGTTGTGACTTGCCAGGGTTTACCAAGAGGTTTTCCCTAACGCACCGCATTTCTGTCAGCCTAAGATCTCTTTGCATAAGTTTAAAGACTGTGGTTTGGTGTTTCCCTCGGATAAGGATGACTATGTCATCAGCATATCCTTGGGCGTACAGCCCTTGATCGTTTAGGTTTTCAGCAGTTCATCTGCCACTAGGTTCCAGAGTAGAGGAGAAGTGACTTCACCATGTGGGCATCCTCTGTGGATATTCACTTACATGGTTTCACTGAACATTTGTGCCTGTACTTGCCGTCCGCATAACATGTCTTCTATACACCAGCAGATGGTGGCAGATAATATTGATTTAAAAGAGGTATTATCAAAAGCTCCTTCTATGTCAAGAAATGCTCCAAGGACTATTTCTTGGCTACTGAGTCCTCCCTCTATCTTGGTTACAAGATGATGCAGACTCACAAGATTTTCCTGATTGATAGGCATGTTGGTTTATATGAAATGGCCTATCTATCCGAGTGGTTTGCCGGACATACTGATCAATTAGTTTTTCCAATTCTTTCATAAGAAATGACGTCAGAGTTATTGGTCTATAGGCCTTCGCCACGGCATACGTTGGACGCCCTGGTTTAGGTATGAAGACAACTCTCCTTTGTTTCCAAGTATTTGGTACATGTTTATGCACCAAACTTGCCCTGTAAAGCCTACAAATATGCAAGGCTAGCGTTTCTATTGCCTGTTGCAAAAGCACATGCAGTACCCCATTTAGTCCCAGTGATTTTTATGGATTGAAGATGCGTATTGCCCATATTTTTACCAAACTACTACGTATAGCATTGTTCAAAAAGTTTTGTAATAGTTTACAAAAAATTTAATAATATTAGTAAACATAAGAAAATGGTCTTTTAAATTAAAATGTATTTTGGTTTAATGGAATGTATCATTGAGGAGGTTGTGTGTAGAAGTATAAAGTATAAAGGTAAATCTACTAAAGTTGAATTTATAGAAGTTGCTAATATGGTATTTTAATGTTAATAGTTATAAGCCAATAAGTTCTGGGATATATCAATGTGTAATGTCTAAAATTATAGAAGTAGCTTGTACTGTTAGATATTTGTTAAATGAGTTTAATGATAAAACCAACTTCGTACACTGCCTTTATTAACTGCTCGGGTCCTGGTTAATTTAAATTGTCTAAGTGGTACCAGTGCCTGTCATGGACATCATCGACGTCATCGGTTACGTGTGTTGGATTTTATATTGAACACAATATATAAAATAGTTATTTTACAATTTTGTTGTAGGTAAATGAATTTTAATCAATTGACTCTATAAATGGGATTGTAATCATGAACAATTCTCCTTCCGAGATTATTGTAGATTTTTAAGTTTCAGGATCTCTAGATTACGAAAAATGTTTTCCTATTCTGTCGGTCTGTCTGTTGTCTATCTGTCGTCGGTCTGTCTGTTGGCGCGATATCTCAAAAACAACTTTATAAAAAACTTCAAATTTTGTAGATTTTTTCTGGCTCAATACCAGCTATAATTTCCATCAGTTATATACAGGGTGAGCAGTTTTTAAAATTTTAAATTTAATCAAAAAAAGGTTTCCCTTCATTGGAAATAATAAAAATTGTCCTTTTGGTTTGTGTATCTGGACCATTTTAAAAGCAGCCAATCATTAGTATTCAATAACGGTGATCGTGACGAAGAATACCGAGTGGACGCGAAGAGAGAATTCGGGTGGGATCAAGAGAAAGATCGATGGAGAGAAAAATGTAAAACGATTTTTCGTTTGGTTGTTAATTTTAAATTATTAAAATTTAAGTGTTTAGGAGTTTCCTGTCTTTACAATTTCTATATAGAGGGAAGTTCTGGGTAAAATATTTTACCGATTTTTTAACATTTTTATAGTGAATATATATGCTATTAGATTCTGAAATATATTGTACAATTTTGAGCCAACTACGACACAAAAATTGTAGAACAAAAAATTGAAATCGAAAAAGTTTGATGGGTAAACTTTTGAATATAGTCTTAGAAAAGTTTAACAAAAAATCGATGTCGGTCTAACAGATTCTGATATAAAAATCTAAAAATGTATATTATTTGTGAAAAAAAAAAGATGTACAATCTTAACATAGTTTAATAATTATTTTTTAGGTAAGAGTATACAAAAACGATAAATTTTATGGAACATTATGCATTTCCGAACCTGTGAAGGATATGGTAATATACAAAAACCTTATGTTTACTGCCAATATGGATATTATTGTTACTGATCTACACCTTGCCAGTAAGTTTTTTTAATGTTATCTACCTATACAGAGTGTCTCAGCTTTCATTAGGCAGTATCTAACTGTTATAATAACTATCCGAATGAAATGAAATTTAGATGGGAGGTATACTGACAGGATAGAGCTACTTAAAGAGCAAATTTTCGTATATTAGGAAATTCCGGTTCACCCTACATATCCAAAAATTAAGAATTTAACATCTTGTATTTTTTGATCTATTTTAAATTTAAGCTTTAATTAGGCCCTGGTAACTATATTCCAATCAAAACATAGGTCATATAATTCCTACAAACTTTTTTCTTAAGCTTACCAAAAATAATTCCCTCACATAATTTTTTTGAAATTGACATAAAAGTTTTATTTGTATATTAAAATAAATGTTCATTAAATAATACTTTTAAGCCAAGCCTGAATAACGGTTAAATTTCTTTTGATTTTTTTTTGATAATTTAAGTACGAAATTACAATATTTAAAATACCTACTAAACCGAAACTCATTTTTAGGTAGTACCCTTCAGTTTGGTACAAAAAATACGTTCCCAGGAAGAGCACCAATAACATTAATAGGAGATAAATATATTGCGTTTTCTACAAGTGAAGCTATGGGGATTGTTGTCCATGAAAATGACGATTCTTCCCATTTTAAAGCTGTCACTGCAAATCAAGTAAGTTATTTTGTTTGTTAAATTTTATTGTTGAGTCTTTTTGTTAAAAGCCTCAAGGTGGGAGGATGTTGGAAATGAGAGTAATATTTAGTGTTTTAGATATAAGTAGTATATATAGTTGCTATGTAAAACATAATTTTTTTTTTGATTGACGATATAATTTTTGAGTTTGTCAGAATAATTTTAAATAGTAATTTTGAGAACTTCTTCATTTTTAATACAGAAGAGCAAACCAGGTAGGTAATATTAGATTAGGAAACGAGAACAAAATTACTCATTAATCAACTTTTTAAAACTATTTAAAAAATTATTTGGAATATCTAAAACAAGATTGTCACTTTTACAGTCGATTTAACATAAAACAATAATATTTCTCCACAGGGTGTTCATTAAATATGTGCTAAACTTAAAGATGCTAGTTTTTTTTTTAATTGCAAGACAAACATATTATATAAAGGCAGGACTTAAATATTTTTTTTTAAATAACTAAAAGAAAAAACTACTATCAATTTAAAACTTGGATGCAATTTTTGTTACATAATGAAGAATCTTTTAAACATACTTTTTTAATTCAAGTCTCCATCAACTATCTGTAAATTTTTTAACGAAGAACAAAGTTTGGACAGATGCCTTCACAGGTATTCTAAAAGCTCAGCTCTATGAATAGTAAATAACCTTTTGGATAAAAAAAAAATTTGGGTTAAGGAAAAATACATTTTAAACTAGAGCCATAATAAGTTTCTGCAACTACAATGTTGAGGAGGGACAGATTGTATTATCTACATCATGCGATCCCCTCAAAGCCATTGACTGTGTATTTGTATAAGGTGTAACAGACTCCTTAAAATACTAAGTACTAGGACTTATATGAACTAAGCCTAAAATTAATGGTCAAATATCTAACAGATCGTACGCAGACAAAGCAGTAATAGATATAGAGCGGCTCACAGAAGATTATGGTATATGGCGTGTTGCACAGCTCAATTATTATTACTATTTTTGGCATATATTAAGTATTTTGCAGCAGCCCAGCAGAATGCCAAGTTGTGATATATGTAAATGATAATGAATTTACAATCAAGTAGAAAATCCTAGATTAGGCAACAATCAAATGTTTAGATCAAACCGTTGGTATAGAGCATTCAATATAAAAACCGATAGGTACACGTCATCAATCAGTTGTGAAGTCATAGCCTTGCAGTATTGCCCAATTTTCAAAATAGTCTAAGAATGTAGGAATTTTTAAAACTATGAGGTTATGTTTTTTTGGCTATGTTATTAGGAACAATTAATTTTAAATGTATAATGAATTCTATATAAAAGCCAATGAAGGTCATTGATAATGTTTAAATTGAAGTTTCAGAAAAACACTGAATTTAATAGTAATCAATTTTGCACAAGAGGTTTAAAATGACAAAAAAGGTTAGGTTAAGGATGAAAAAACAAATAAATTTTATTTGGGCTTGATTTAATTTACAATAAAAAATAATTATGTTCAGTTAGTTTATAAACATCCATATTTACAAAAGTAACAATAATTAGAACAGTTAGGTAATAAAATTAACAACACATGACATTTTAAAACTTAAATAATATTTAAGCTAAAATCAGTCAGAATAATCAGAACTAAAATTAGAATCATCTCTATTTTGTGTTATAATAATGGGAGCAATTTCCAATCTGTCCAGTAAATGCTCTCTTTCACACCATTAAAAAATTTTTTTTCAGTATGTCTTACACTGTTTGCCCACATTTGTGGGGTAATAGTTTGGAGTGCTTCAGACCACATGTCTATACAATCTCTTTGTGTCTTTCCATCCCCACCAATATGCCTGTTATAATATTGTTTTGAAATATCCCAAATCAGTTCTATTGGATTAAATGGTACAAATTTGCTTCCTTTTTTTGGTATATTTTCTTAAAAATTCTGCCCGTTTTACAGCAATATCTGGAAGTTCCATAAAACCTCGCCTTGGTTCATCTTTCTGCCATTTAAGACCTATTTCTAATAATAAGTTATGCAATGATGTGCGACATCCATTGAACAACTCTTTCTCATTAAGTTTCACCAACAAAGAATCTAAACTTACATGCTCCTCTGAAATCATACATTAATTTGTAATTGTTTAATAATAATTTATATACATATACACTTACTAGACTCGTACATGCTATAAATAACATCTCGAATAGCACTGGTATTCAGAATTCTTGTGTTGGTAACTTTCTTTTGCCTAGGGCAAGTTTTCGTTGGTGACTTTAGAACTTCACTGTTCTTTACAGCTTATGAAATAGAACTATGAGTAGAAAAATTGAGATTAAGTGCTTCTGCGACACGCTGAAACAAAATTATATTAATTTGACGGTGATACATTATTAATCAACTCACTTCTCTTATAGCTGTTAAAGGTATTATCATGTGCTTTCTTAAAATAATTTATTAGAGAAGCCACTAGTTCTTTGCAGCGACTATTTAATTGTTTTGGCATTTTTCAATGAACGAACACCACTATTAAATTCCTAATAAATTTGTTCTGAAAAGAACAGTTTGTTAATAATTTAATGTAAAATACAAATAATTTGTTGAAAAGAAATCGGTTGATGCAAAATAATACAAAACAAATAACAATTGACAACAATGTATTAAAATTGAAAGCTGACACATTTGATGCCAACTTTTATTATGAAATTCACTAGAAATTATTCCGTTAATAACCTGCCTACAGTACATTACTACTGTGATATGATAAAAAATACATTTTTAATATGCAATTTTATAATGCGTCTAAATTTATTCATTTATTTGCAAAATAAAATTTAATTATTTTTATTAGTGTGTGTGGTACCAATGACTGTCACTGACGTCATCTCTGACGTGCATCGGTTTTTATATTGAATGCTCTAATGCGCATGTTTAAAAGCAATAATTATCTCCCGATAATTATTTTTTTCTCATTTGCCTAAATTATTAATTTTGATATACGTGGAGGGCTAAATTAGAATTACCAAATATTCAAATGAGACAACTACTAAGTTAGTGTAGATACTATGCTTTTATCTTAAACATATTTTACGAAGGATTAAAGCAACCCAGATAACCTACGAAATAACCCTTGTTAGGGAAAAGGGCAAAGAACAACAAATACGAGGTTCTACTTAGACAGCCACTGGTATGACGAAGTTTTCAACTATTTTCGTAATAAAAATTCCGCAGACATTAAGGATTCGAAGGATTAGTTTGCAAATTTTATTTAATTTAAAGTTTGTTTTAGAAACGGTCATTACAGTTATATGGTTTGTTCGCAGTATAAAGTTTTGCAATATTGGCGCATGGAATATTTTTATTGTAGCTAACCGTGATTCAATAAATTTCATATTTCATTAAAATTGAAAAGTCTAACAAAGCATAAATTTTATGAAAAATTTTATTACTTTATCATGCAATAAAACCTTTTATTGTACTGATTGATTCAATTACCTGCCATTTATCGTCCTATAATAATTTTATCTATATACTGTGATTTGAGTAAGTTAACAATGTTTTCAACATTCAGTTCCATCTTACATACTCAAAAATCGTGAATATAGCTCCATAAAAACATGGAATTGGTACTTTTGGCTTACATCAAATAAGGTAGTTCTGATTTTTTTATATGTTGGTAATGATGAGATGGTAATGCCAAATCCAAATTTTCCACCTCACAAGCCCTTCGGATTCTTGTTAAATACTGAAAAATTCTTTAAATTTTAGGACTTTTTTCAGTTTTTGTCAATTTTTACCATGAAGAACCTGTGTTACGGCAAAAGTTACAATGCACACTTTTTAAATAGACTAAATTTGCAATGAAATGGGAATAAGTTGGTTTTAATAGGCCAAATAGTTTATATGATATGGCTATATAAAATTTTGCAAAATTAAAAAAATTAGGAAGTATTACTTTTTTTTAGTTTTCGACAGTTTTTTACTCCTAAGTAGTGGGTTTATAGGACAAGTTACTTTTTAGTCATTAAGGTCAACTAAATTCCCAACCAAATGAGACAAATTATGTCAACTTACACCTGATAGTTCCTGAGACACAGCTGTTCAAAGTTGTTGAGGAAAGTAATCAATTATGTACTATAAGGGTTTGGAGCCCTGTTAATGAAATAAGCTTTACAATTTATTAAAATAAACATTTTACTTATTTAAACATTAAAATGAAAAACATAATGAAACGCCTTATTTTATTTCATGTACAGCACAGTTAGGAAAATAGTTATAACTCCCATTTTTTGTATTTTTTTGATGGATCAGGCTCGTCCTCTGAATCCACAGCATACTTCTTGAGGGCAGCTTGCTGAGGTATAATTTCTTCTTCGAACTGTTTACGAAGGTCAAAATCATCATTTGATTATGTGTAATCAATGAATGGTTCATTAATGTCGCCACACATCAGGTCTTGTATGTTATTACAAGATTGACCAGTGCAGTAACTGCAAACAGCCGAGCATTTCAGTCCTGCTTTCCTGCAACCACAATTGCTGATACAACATTTTTGTTCATTCAGAAAACCATATTTCGCTGAGCTTGAGGAGCTGGTGGTGCCATCATCTGTTAAGGAACGAGACCTTGTGTTCTCCGCATCCAGCCTCAATCGAGAGGATTATTCTGATTTCCATAAACCAGTTCTGTACCTAAAACAAAATCAACAACAAAATAAGGAACCATGTACAAAGAATGTGGTCTAAAGCAAAAAGGAATACAAACATAAAACTTATTCTCACCTGGTGGTATGTAATCTGGCGACGTTCATGTTGGACTTAACTGCCGCCCTAGTGAACAACTGGAAACGAAGATCGCGACTCTCTGTTGCCTCCATAAAGTGAAAGGAGGAAGGTCTCTCCTGCGTCGGAAACTTGCTCAGGTGTGGCATTAAAGCTTACGAAAGCCTCTGCGTTTTGTTCGAGGCGTGTGTTGTTTTTTTATTGTCGATAGAAATTTCTCTTTTCCTTGGTCAAAA